TTGTTTCCTTTAAAGAGTGAAAGTTACTAATTTTGATAAAGTCCAGGTTATCAGTTTTTCTATTATGGATTGTGATTTTGGTGTCCTGTCTAAGAAATCTTTACCTAACCCAAGATCACAAAGGTCTTCTGTGTTTTCTTCTAGAAATTATATACTTAACATGTTTCATATGGTTCCTTTTGAGATTAATTTCAGATTCCTCCAGTGGACTGTGCTCCTTTGTGCTTATTGTAGATATTGTAGATATTGTAGTGCCGGGAAGTTCTGTGTTCCATGCTGCAACTGGCAGCATGGCTTGCACAGCAGAGGCACCATAAGAGGGTTTCTCTGTGTTCTTGTACCCTTACTGGTGGTATACTGCCTTTGCTTATTAATTGGTTTGAGGCATGATACACATAGGGAGTTTTTTAAAGATAAAAACCATATAAGAATCAGTTTTATAATGTTAAAGTTAGATTAGAACTATTTTTGTGAACTAGTGACCTTAAAAAGATGTCTATTGTGGTTCCATACAAATTTTAGGATAGTTTGTTCTAGTTTTGAGAAGTATGCTACTACAAAGCTGTCATCATCAAGACAGTATGGTATTGGCACAAAAACAGACACATAGACCAATGGAACAGAATTGAGAACTCAGAGCTGGACTGAAAGGTATACAGCCAACTAAACTTTGACAAAACAGGAAAGAATATCCAGTGGAAAAAAGACAGCCTCTTTAACAGGTGGTATTGGGAGAACTGGGCAGCAACATGCAGAAGAATGAAACTAGATCAATTTCTCACACCATACACAAAAGTAAACTCAAAATGGATAAAGGACCTGAACGTGAGACAGGAAACCATCAAAACCCTGTAGGAGAAAGCAGGAAACAACCTCCTTGACCTCCACTGCAGCAACTTCTTACTTGACACATCCCCAAAAGCAAGGGAATCAAGAGCAAAAATGAACTCTTGGGACCTCATCAAGATCAAAAGCTACTGCACGGCAAAGGAAACAATCCATAAAACTAATAGGCAACCAACTGAATGGGAAAAGATAGTTGCAAATGACATATCAGACAAAGGGTTAATATCCAAAATCTATAAGGAACTCACCAAACTCCACACCCGAAAAACAAACAACCCAGTAAAGAAATGGGCAGAGGATATGAACAGACATTTCTCCAAAGAGGACATCCAGATGGCCAACAGACACATGAAACTATGCTCAGTATCCCTCATCATCAGGGAAATACAAATCAAAACCACATGGAGATTCCACCTCATGCCAGTCAGAGTGCTAAAATGAGCAAATCAGAGAACTCTAGATGTTGGCAAGGTTGTGGAGAAATGAGCACCCTCCTACACTGTTGGTGGGAATGTAAACTAGTGCAGCCCCTCTGGAAAACAGTGTGGAGGTTCCTCAAAACATTAGCAATAGAACTCCCTTATGACCCAGCAATAGCACTGCTAGGAATTTACCCAAAGGATATAGTAATGCTGATGCATAGGGGCACATGTACCCCAATGTTCATAGCAGCACTCTCCACAATACCCAAACATTGTGCAACATTTCGCTCTGCCTGAGCGAAATAAGTCAGGCAGAGAAGGACAAATATCATATGTTTGTACATATAGGAGAATTAGGAGGAACTTAACAGAGGACCATGGGGGAGAAGAAGGGGGGAAATGGTGGGGGAGAGGGAGAGAGGCAAACCATGAGAAACTCTTGAATACTGAGAACAAACTGAGGACTGATGGGTGTGGGGGGGAGAGGGGAGATAGGCATGGAGGAGGGCACTTGTGGGGATGAGCGCTGGATGTTATATGGAAACCAACTTGACAATAACTTATTTGTAAAAAAAAAAAAGATGTCTAAAAGATTGTCACTTTGTCAAGAGAAACTGACAAAGCATGGCAGTTCTTGCAACTGAAAATGACATAGGCAAAGAAGATTCTGAAAATCTTGAATTTTTTCCATTAGGGCCAGGAGAGTAAAATAGTAATACATTCTGTGGTATAAACGAAATACTTAAGCTAATGTGAGTTTAATAATTTTTGATTGTTCAATTTGAGTTTTTTGGTTTTTCAATGTTTTTTCAATGCTTAAATGTTCTGGAAAAAATTAACCATTAAAAAATATAAAAACATATCTGTAGTGATACACATTTTTCCTTGTACGTCAGGCTCCAGTATGGCTCAGCTGAACATTGGTACTTATTTAAAACTTTAATAATGTTCATCATGGATTGTTTTGCATTAATTTTGATTTTTAGAAATTATTGTATTAAAATGTCATTTATTTTGATTATTGGGTTTTCTTGTGCAAACCCCTCACTCTTCTTGTCCTAGGCCCAGCCCTCTTTAAAAGCAGTAAGACTTACATTTAAAGGATGTTTATAAAATACAATAAAAACCAATAGAAATTAGAAGTTCATAGAATTAGTCCAACTAATTAGATTTTATTTACTAATTTACTCATTCTCTCCTCACATGAATCTATATAGTGGCAATCAGTAGGGTTGAAGAGAGAGCTAAAAGAGATGTGGATGGGTATAATCATAGTTCAGATGGGATATTTAAAATTCCAAACAGGTGTAATGTATAGAGAGAAACTTTTTGAAATTAAAATGGAAAAGATTTCATAATGGTAGTTAGAATAGCAGGATCTTTGTGAACTTAGGGCCTTAGGAAATACCTCAAGTAGCCAGGCAAGGCCCTCAGGTATTTATCACCAATTTTCACGTTGAAACACTATTCTGTGTGCTTTTCTGCACAAGTTTTTTTTCTAATGCTATTCTTGTTTTAAAGAGTGTCTAAGAGATTAGCTGATGCCTTTTCTTGTGGAGAAAATGTGTTTTTCATTTACCAGTCACTTTTCTAAACATTTATAAATATTAACTCATTTAAACTTCATTAACAATTCCCTGTGGTTGGTGCTGTTATTATCCCATTTTACAGATGAGAAAACTCAGGCCTAGTGAGATTAGGTAAGTGACTCAGGTTATACAGTAAATGCAGAACCAAATTTTTTAAAAATATTTATTTTTGAGAGACAGAGAGAGCATGAGCAGGGGAGGTCAGAGACAGAGGGAGACACAGAATCTGAAGCAGGCTCCAGTCTCTGAGCTGTCAGCACAGAGCCTGACATGGGGCTCAGACTCACAAACCATGAGATCATGACCTGAGCCGAAGTTGGCCCCTTAACCAACTGAGCCAGTAGGCGCCCCTTATGCAGAACCAAATTTGAACCTTAGTATTCCGACTTCTGAATCTGTCTCGTAAATGCCAAGCTATACACACATGTACGAGAGTTTCTAAACACAGCAAGATGGAAAAATCAAACATGTATGTGTTTTCTATTGCTGCTCTAACAAATTACCAGGTTAATTTCAAAAATAAGTTGGGGACTGTTGGCAGATATGGGTCAGCCATTTTGTATGTCTCTTTGTTGAGTCTGCCCTACTTATAATTATTTTCTTCTCTCTGTGTAGAAAAGAGTGGATATGAGTAACTATGGGCAGGCCAAACATTAAAAATAAACCTGTGGACCCATTCTAAGTAGGGGAAGGGCTTCTAAGCCACAGTGGTCAGGCATAATAACCAGGAGAAAGTGTTTCCAAGAAAGTGTTGCAAGATGATAGATTTGCCAGATGTCTAGCAGGAGAGCTGTGTGAGCAGACTTTATCTCAAGTCTCTTGGGGAGTGGAGTGTCTGTTGGCCTTGCCAACCACATGGGGTTCTCATGGGCATACTGGAGTCCATAGTAAACTGAAGCAGACCAAGCTTTGTCCAAGAATGGGTGAACATGGAGGCAAGGGACAGGCCCCAGGTAAAGGAGAGGTGTGGGATAAAGTAGTCCCCTGAGAGCAGACACTTGAACCTTAGTTGTGAGAGAGCTTAGCCCAATAAGTGCTGGCTCTAGACCACAAATTATTAGATATGGTTTGGTGACAGAAGTAGAGGAAGGAGGGCACTTTAACTTCTCTTACTCATTCACAACCATTGGTGATTTAGTGTTGTAATGTAGTCATAAGAGTGGTGAGTTTTCACTGAATCTCAGTGTTAAGTGTTACAAACAGCAACAGCAGTTACAAAATTGTGCTAAACTAATGTGCATGTGTCTGTCCACTTAAATATGACCTATAGAAATTTGTTGAGACTGGCTGTATTTCTTGGTGGAATATCTCTTGAAATACTTTAGTGGAGTAAATATGTTTTGATATGTAAGTTTTAATTATTGCATAAAACTTATCACCAGGAGATTGAAATAGTTTTTCCCCCAGAAAAATTGGGAGAAAAGGTTCTCTTGCCTGACTTCCAATACATTTTTTATTTTTAAAGATTACTTCCTTCTTTAAGGTTAAGATCCCATTTAGAGCCTACATATGATATTTAGGTGGGGTTGCCAAGCCAACTCCATACTATAACATGAACGCATTATAGAATGATAAAGTATTTCCATCCTCCTAAGAGAGTTTTCTAATTAAAGTGGGTGCAGCACCAAAGTGTTCGCAGTTGAATGGTGTAGTTCTGCGTAAACATAGATTCCTCCTCCTTGACAGTGACCAAAGAGCTCTGCTAGAGGATTTATTGATAAACCGAATATATAAACGTGATTATCACTGCAAGGAAACATGCTGTCTTGAATATTTGCTAAATATTCTGTCTTATGATCAGTTTTATATTATTTTTACCTTTAGAGATTAGGAAAAAAATCATTTTATGCATGATGAAATATCTGCACTAAATCTACTGTGGGTATATGTGTTACTAAATATCAATCATTTTGACTCTTAAGAATTTTGAAGAGGTTCACACTTAAAGCAGTTTTATCTTAAAGATATCTCTCCTTCTGTGACATTGCTTTTCTTTTCTTTATAGAAAAATTCTTTTGTCATAAGTATAATTTATCTTTCTAAAACTGACCTTTTAAAAATATATCTTAATCTACTTTGAGGTTTTTTGTGTGTATGGTGTAAATTTATATACTCTTTCTAACTCAGTGTTTTAAACTTTCAGGCTCAACTTTAAAGAAGCTTCTACACACTGGAAATTCTATTAAGGTATTTATTTTAGATGAATGCACAATGGCATTTTGCAACAGTCTTAAATTTACTAGTGCCATAAAGTGACAAAATGAGGCCCTTTTGGGGGATAAAAGATCTTTAAAAACCACTCGACTTACTTTTTATTTTTAATTGAAAATGATATGGCAAATATTGTTAGAGTTTCTGTTCTTACCTCGTAACTTATTGTGATATACGCTTTAAATATTATTTGGGGAAAGGGGCTTGGGATTCGGAGTTTGGAATTTGGAATTCTAATTTTTATTCTACTGTGTACAGTCAGATGACCATCAGTGAGGTGGTCACTGCTCCAGTTTTATCTTCAAGGAAGGGAAGGGTTCCTCCCCAGGCTTCTGAGCTAATGTGCTGGATTCTATTCACCCCAGCAATCTTGTTAAAATTATAATTGTCTCTGAATTATTTTTGCTGGATTTTAGAACCATTTTGGGAAAAAAGAGCAGCAAAGCCTTACTCTAGAATATTCATTTATTTGTTTGCAGTATAACTTTAGGTTAACATTGCCTTATTTTAAAACAAACATGCCTTTTATAATGATATATGACATTTGATGCTAGATAAGATGATCCTAAAATGTAAATGACAAAAGAAGCCAGCTGGGGATATATATTTTATGGAAGGTGATAGACTTATAGCTAATTAGGTTATTAAATCATATTAAATTTAATAAGTTCATATTAAATGGAATAATACTTGGCAGTGAGAAAGAATGAAATCCTGCCATTTGCAGCAATGTGGATGGAACTGGAAGGTGTTATGCTGAGTGAAATAAGTCAGCAGAGAAAGACAGACATCATATGTTTTCACTCATATGTGGAACTTGAGAAACTTAACAGAAGACCATGGGGGAGGGGAAAGAGAAGGGGAAAAGTAGTTACAAACAGAGAGGGAGGAAGGCAAACCATAAGAGACTCTTAAATACAGAGAACAAACTGAGGGGTAATGGGGGGAAGGGAAAAATGGGTGATGGGCATTGAGGAGAACATTTGTTGGGATGAGCACTGGGGATTGTATGTAAGTAATGAACCTCAGGAATCTACTCCCCAAACCAAGAGCACACTGTACACACTATATGTTAGCCAGTTTGACAATAAATTATTTATACACACACACACACACACACACACACACACACACACACGCACACGCACGTTGGAAACAACTAAAAAATGTTAAGTTCTTATATTTTCTGTTTCATACCAGCTTAAACACTTATAGCCACTTAAATTTAGTATGTTACCTTTCTTACATGTTGAAAAAAGGGGATGAGCTATTCCTAGCTTCACAACAGATTACACATTTTATCTCTCCTATTTTAATTAGCAGTCGTATAATTAAAACTTAATCAGGTTGTGACCTCATGTATATTATTGGCCTTATTTATATTTTGTTAGCTTAAATAAAGTTATCCTAAAACAAATGGAGACATGATAGTATGTTGTAATTTTCCTCCTGTTAAATTTTCTGTAATTAGATACACATATAAATTATGCATGTAATTAGATATGCATAGAGCCATGTCATTTTTTGTCTATTATGTGTTCAGCAGTGTCCCCACTTATGTTGCCTGCTTGGGGAGAAGTGAACAGGGGTGAGTGGTCATGGAGGTTTGTGCACAGAGTGGCGTGTCCATAGGTGTGTCTGAAAGTGTGCCCTGGAATCCACTGTTGATGGCGGAGAACTGTCTTCAGACAGGGTATCTGTCTTGGTGTATTTGACTTCTGTGGGGAGTCAGCGAAGCACTTTTTTTCTTTCTTTTTCTCTTTTCATTTCACTTCACTTCTTTCATCTTTCCTGCAGAGCCTCATGTGTGGCTTAAACACTTGCTCTGGAAGAATCTGAACCACCTTGGTATAGTTGAAAGGAGATCAGGCAGTCCCTCAGTTGCCTGCATTTGGAGCTCACTGTATTTTGCAGCTTCATCTGACATTTTTTTCATCTCTTCAGAGCACAGCGAAGGTGTTAGAATGGAACAGGGACATAAGGCTGGGAAGCAGGAGAGCTGCCTGGTCCCATTGAGCCAGGTCTTCAAGGTCTTGTTTAGTTCTAAGTGTTCAGATTTGCAAGAACATTACATTATATGTGTCCATATTGTAGTGACATGACAAAACTCTATTCAATGAGGAAGATTATCTTTGCTTTGTTTTCATGGATAGCCGATTGTTGATGATACGGGCACTGTTGTAACTCTCTTAACCCTATACCAGTACTTTGTGGTCAATTCTGTTATCCCTGTTTTACAGAGGGGGAGACTAGTGCATAGAGAAGTTAAGTGGTCCCCCACTGGTCACAGCTAAGCTCAAGTAGCAGAGCCTGCATTTGAACCCAGGCCCTGTGGCTCAGAACCCAAGCCCTTGTGTTTATTGCAGATGCCGACTTGTCACTAAGAAGAGCATGGTGCCGTAATTCAACAATACCTTTAACTTCTGGTTTTTCTTTCTCAGAACTGATCCTGCATTGCAGTGCATCTCTGCATATACATTTAGGTGTTTAATTTTGCTGCCTTTAATTTTACTTTTAGATAAGATGTGAAGGGATCAGGCTGTTTCTTCTGTGGCTTCAAGCCCTTCAGACAAACTGTGCAGAAGAACAGGTGCTGATTTTTGCTTGCCTCGTGCCTGGTTTCCCAGCGATCATGTCCTCCAGAGGGCCCTGTACGCTGGAGACACTCATCAGTCCCAGCCCTAGTGGAGCTGACGGTGAGTATCAGCAGCAGATCTTAGAGGCTGAAATGACTCTTGAAGTTACATGGAGGAATTCCTTGGTTTGTCATTATCCTGAACAGAATTCTTTATTTCATATATGGTTCAGAGGAGGAGTTATTTCCTGCTTATATTCACAGTAAAGCTTTACATTAGAATTTACATTAGCCTATTTTATATGAAATGATGACAGGAGAAATTTCCTGAAGTGGTGGAAACAAGAATGGAAGGGAGGAGACAGATGTTGGCAACAGCAGGAAGTAGAGACACATGGTATGTCTGGAGTGTTTTTGTGGCTGTTAATGAGATTTAAATCCACCATCCAAACCTACTGTCTATTGTCCTCAGATTGTTTCATGAGTGGACATTCATCTGCTCACCCAGGCTCTTTTTTGCCAGCTGTGTATTTCATGCGGCATTCATGGAGGGACAATAGTGGGCTCCTGGGAGTATTAATAGCAGCTATTTGTGTCTTGTGATTCTTCAAAACTTGCCAGTTAGAGCCACTGATTTATTAATGCATTTCACTTTATTGCCCAATGACAACTCCTTGATCTTAGGCTGACCAAAGTAGAATTTGAAAGAGAAAAGAGTGGTTTAGTGGGAGAGGTGGTTTCATGAGCATTTGTACCATTTTTTTAAGCCCTTCATGTACACTGGATTGGAGTATAGTGTGAGCAGTTCCAGTGGAGGCAGAGATTTATTTTAATAGAGGCCACTTAAAACAAAAACAAATACCAACTTTAACTTTGGTGAAAGAATCCTTTTTCCCCCACTCTGCAGCAAAGATATATCCAGAAGAAATCACTCCACTGCTGCCAGCCATATCAGGGGAAAAGATCACTGAGGACCAGACATGCTTTTTTCTTCAAATACTATTGAAATATATGGTTATTCAGGTAAGAGCAAAACCATGGGATAATTCAATAATGATCTTACTCTTGGTGGGAAAGAGAAAGCATTGCTTCTTTTCTTCCTGCTTATCCATATGTTGTACCTTTGTTTTTTCTTTGAGGTGATTTTATATGATACTTCACTAAAAATAGAGTATGGACCTGGCATACATACTATGTTGTGTAAGTGTGTTTGTTACCAGAAGAACTCAGTTCTCCTCCTCCTTTTAGATCATTGCCACATTCACCCAGAACACTTCACTTCTGACACTTGTGGTTACCAAACATGTGAGTGTTTTCCCCAACCAGGCAACTCTGCCACACTGGCTGTGTCCTGCAGCTTAGTTCTGCTTTGAGGCCGTCTGTTTGGAGATGGCATTGGATCCCACAGGATAAGGACTAAGTCCTATCAGATGGCTCTGTGACAGTCAGGTGCCAGTCACTAGTAGTAGACCCCAGGTTTCCCACTGCTTCTGTACAACATGGCTACAAATCAGAGGTTCCCACAACTCCTTTTCAGGTTGAGCTGATTTGTTAGAGTGGCTTGCAGAACTCTGGGAAACATTTGTTTCCATTTACCAGTTCATTAAAGGATGTGATAAAGGATGCAGATGAGTAGTCAGATGAGGAGGTGCAAAGGACACAGCCTGGGAGGGTCCCAAGCGCAGGAATGTGTGTTCCTGTGGAGTTAGGGTTCCTCACCCTCCCAGTATGTGGATATGTCACTTACGTGGAAGCTCCCTGAAACCCCTGCCGTTGGGATTTTTCTGGAGGCTTGCTCACACCGACATGCCCCATTTTTAGTCCCTTTCCCTTCTGGTGAAATGGAAGGGTTGGGGTGGGGGTGCTGAAAATACCAAGTTCTAATCCCAGTGTGGTCTTTCTGGTGACCAGCCCTCACTCGGAGTCCACCCAGAGTTGTTTTACTAGAACAAAAGATGCTCCCTGTGCTCTTACTGCTTAGGACATGACAAGAATTTTAGGGGCTCTATGCCAAGAAGTGAGGGCAGAGACCCATATATATTTTCCATTATCTCATAGTATATTAATCTATTTTTGCCTCTTTGTCCCTTCCTGAACCCTGATTCGGGTGGAAGCACATACAGGTGTCTCTGTGCTGTCAGCACAGGCCTGCTTGATGTCACAGGTTCCCTTCTCTGATGTTTGCCAACTGAATACAGAGCTAATATCATTAGGTTATGATTTCAGTAGGTTATCCCTTTCTCTTTGTCTACATTTTTGAGCATCAATATGGTTCTAAACTACTGATTTCCTTTCTCTCAGCGAACACTTCTGTCATTCCTGAGTTCTTCCTGGGACCCCTGTCCAATTTCTGTGTCCTCTACAACCAAGTTTGTTGATGTTATAATCTCTGCTAAGTCCACTTCGTCACCTGACATTCACTGCTAACTACCTCTGTCCTGTCCCTGCTAAGACAGAGGCCCAAGATCATGAAGGAGGTCTAGTGGTCAAGTCCAGAGAAGGACACTTTTAGAAAGAAATAATCTTTCAGGTGATTTGACAGTGACTGCCCCTTCTTCATGACATTCTCTCCTCTCATAATCTTTTCATCCTGTTTTCCTCTTCCCCTTCTTTTATTTCTTGCCAGTTTTCTTTGGGGACTGTTTCTATCTGCTGTTTTCAAGATTCAGTCCTTGGCTCCCTCTCTGATTACTCTGTCCTGTTGGGCAATCCTGTGTGCTCTCCTCTTCCATTTCCTTTAGCCAGCCCCAGAAACACAGGACTCCAGAATCCTAAGAGCAGACTGGGGTATTCTGTTGTCTTCAGGAAGCCCCACATTTTGGCCCTACTGGCCCATTCCCCCTGCATCTCAAACTCCACCTGTTCAGAAGTGGTAGGGCATTCCATCTGTCCCAGGAGATCGGCATGAAGTATTGAAAACTTGGATGTCTCATTCTAGATGTGTCACTAATGAGGTGTGTGACCTTGGATAAGTCACACAATCCCCAGAATCCCAGTGGGGGAAGGATGCTAGTGATAGAGGGTGGCCGTTTTTACGCAGACTGTGAACCCCTAAATCAGGTACAGAATTGTATTTGCATGTCCATCCCTCTCTCTCTCCCTTCTCTCTGCTGGCTCACCCCAGAGAACTTCTGACATACTCTGTATTAGAACTTCTGACAGGGAGCAGACACTGAGCCCCTCTGCCCCAGGGGCACTCAGAGTCCCACATCCCTTTGCCTCAGATGCTGCACAAAGTATGTTCATTTTCTAAGTGGGCTGCATCATGAAGGAAGTTGGGAAGCTCTTGCCTTAGAGCACTCTGTGTTCTAACAAGTACTAAGAACCAGTAACAGTTGCAGCTGGACTGGCAGGCCTGACTTATTTTATTAGCCCGTGGAATGCTTTTAATAAGGAGAATGCACTTTCCAAGTTTTCATAGCTTTACCTTTTGATGATATTGATTTTGCATGAAATCTTTGCAAGGGATTATTTCTTTAATTCCTGTTTATTGTAGGGGTGCCTGGGTGACTCGGTTAAGCATCTGACTTTGACTCAGGTCATGATCTCACAGTTTGTAGGTTCAAGCCCCATGTTGTGCTTACAGCTCAGAGCCTAGAGCCTGCTTCCAATTCTGTCTCCCCCTCTTTCTCTGACCTTCCCCCACTCACACTTTGTCTCCATCTCTCTCTCAAAAAATGAATAAACATTAAAACAGTTTAGAAAAATCCTGTTTATTATAAATGGCCTTTTTTGAGTAAAAAAAACCCCACCAGATTACCTCTGACTGAATGTTTTAAGTGCAGAAAGAATGTTAAATCATTATAGAGAACGTGTGGGAAAAAATAAAGGCATGAAGTAATAGAGCAAGTTTAAAAAGATAGGATATCATTAGGTGATTTTGTTTTAATATTCGGTAAAAACCTGTTTAGCATAGTTACAATTTTGTTTTGAAGCTTTCATTCTTGTCATTTCAGTTTTAAGATACGGTTTCATTACATGATTGTCAACATTATTCGTCAACCTATTTTTATTTAGAATAGGAATTTTAATAAGATAACAGCATTTCAGTTTAGTATGCATTAAGTTGAAAAGTAAATGTACATATGTTCTTTTCCACTTATTGTCCAAAGGCTGCAAGTTTGGAGTGGAAGAATAAGGAGAATCAAGATACTGGTTTTAAATTTCTTTTTACATTGTTCCGAAAGTATTATCTTCCTCATTTATTTCCATCATTTACTAAGTTAACAAACATCTACAAACCTGTGCTTGGTAAGTACTCGTTGGGCTGTATCTAGAGGATCTCCACAGGGAAGCTGTCCAGTTTCTTTCAAAGTGACCTTTGATTACTTTTAAGTAAAGTAGCCATTTTATTCTTATATTTAATGTTAACTTTATTGTAAGAGGCTTAAAGTTTCCTAATAAATGATTTTACCTATTTGTACAAGCTTCAAGAGATACCTCATCTCACAGCAATAAAGGGGACCAAGGCTCCTGTACTCAGAATAATTTGACATGTGTCATGGTGTTTTGGTTGTAATTATATTGAAAAATTTTAATGTTAAAAAAAAAGCTTGCATTTCCTTAGATCTTTTCTTATGGGTAGTGGGGTATGGTGAGACGCCAGACCTTGCTCAGTGGCTAGGCAAGCCAGCCCAGGCCACACAGCTGCTCACAGTAGGTCCTTTTATACTGGATCTTCCATCCAGCAGGTGCTACTTACAGCTTATGGAGGGACAGATGTTTGGGCATTTGGACAACCTAGGGACAGTAAGCCCCAGAGAGAAAGGAAACATAAGGGAGTTTCTAATTTAGCTGCTAAGGTTTTTCTTCTATAAGAAATGAGGACATGGGGCACCTGGGTGGCTCAGTCGATTAAGCTTCTGAATTAGGCTCAGGTCGCGATCTCATATTTCATAGGTTTGAGCCCATGTCAGGCTCTGTGCTGACAGCTCAGAACCTGGAGCCTGCTTCAGATTCTGTGTCTCCCTCTCTCTGCTTCTCCACCTCTTGCACTCTGTCTCATTCTCTCTAAAATAAATAAACATTAAAAAAGTTTTTAAAAAGGAAAGAAATGAGGACTCATAAGACAGAAGCACCCCTTAGATTGGTGGTAGTGGGGGCAAATTTTTCTCTCCCTACTAAAGCAAGTGAAATTAGTTAAGATGAATAATCAAGAGCAATTTTGCTTTTTGGTTTGTTTATTTAGTTTTGAGAGAAAAATAGCCTGAGTGGGGGAGGGGCAGAGAGAGAGGGAGAAAGAGCAAATTCGGAGTGCAGAGTCCAGTGCAGGGCTTGAACCCATGAACTGTGAGATCATGACCTTGTACTGAAGTCAGACACTTAACCACTTGAGCCACCCAGGCACCCTGAATCAGGAACAATTTTGGAGGAGGAAGATCACAACGGATGTTAATCTGTCTGGAGAATGTGGACCACTAATTCAGTTGTTTTTGGGTGTTTACTTACACACATACACACACACACACACAACCACATGCTTGGATAAGGGGAAAACAACAGAAACTTGATGCATTTTGAAAGATACAGAAATACTGAACTTTAGAGGTACTGGGATGTGTATTTCATTAGCTTTATGTGGGTATATTTTTTCAGAATTTGTTTCTGATTTTATAAATAGTCTATGTTCATGGTAGAAAACATAGTATATTGTGATATGCTGAAATTAAAAATTATTTGTTGAGAACTCGTCTACTTAATGCAGGTACCTCCAAATGTGTACAAGTTAGTATGAGAGTTGGACATACAGCAAGTAGTATCTCAAACCCAACACCATGCAATTTTTTTTATTGATTATGGAGTTTAAAGATTGAGGAATGGACCTCCTATTCATTTGTCTGATGCCTTAAAGATGAATTCTTTTGGACATAACGTAGATTATACTGATTTTATTCTTTGGATTTGTCTAAAGGGGGAAGGGTTTAAGACTGACAGTCCAGTGGATTTGATTAGTGTAGTATTGGATATTAAAATATGTAAAATGATGAAAACATGTCTATACATGCTTTTACAAAATTTTTGGTCATAAAATAAGACTAAATTAGCTATACTATATGTGAAAAACTTTTTAGTATTATAATCTCCTGTCATTTCTCAAATTTGTTAAAGAGAGCTGTTTGCTTAGTACTTCCACAGCTGTATACCACAGTTGTAACAAGCACACAGCAACAGTACCCACCATCCCATCTTGGCCAGGTTGCAAGGCAGAATCAGAAACAAGCCTACCAAAAGATGTCATTTTTAATAATTTCTGGTTCTTTGATTTTAGTTGCAGTTCAAACAAACAAATATATATCTGCTTAGTTAAACTGAACCGTCTGTGGGAATTACATTCACTAACCTAACATGTGCTCTTTTTTCTTCCAGACATACCCCATTTGAGACCAAAGCCTGTGTACATTACTACAACTCGAGACAATGAAAACATTTACAGTACAAAAATTCCGTACATGGCAGCTCGTGTTGTTTTTATTAAGTGGATTGTCACTTTCTTTTTGGAAAAAAAGTATCTAACTGCAACACAAAACACTAAAAATGGAGTTGATGTGTTGCCCAAAATCATACAGGTATGCCATTCATCATCTTCTTTTACTTAGGTAAAAATGCACTAATATATACCAAAGTAATCGGTTGTTAGGGTTCTTGGTTCTTAACAGATATTGGTTATGGGGACTGGTTTATTGGTGGGCTCTGTCTGTATTGCTGAGGTGTCAGGGGAAGCTCTGAGGCCCCAGGCTCAGTGCTCTGTTAACATACCATGACAAGGCAACCTTGGGGGCCAGGGAGCCATTCTGAGGGATACCTATTATGTGCACATTCCTGGCTTCCTCTCATTTTCCCTCTTTTGCTCAAGTACCAGTGACCTCAGAGCATAAGACCAGGGGTCTGTGTTGGCTTGTCCAGTTCCCAGCACCAAGAAGGTCCTCCAGAATCACGCACGTGGGCCATGGAGAGGACCCATGAAACTGCTGAGTGCTGTCTGGGATCTCAGGGGAAGGAGTGAAAGAGCATCTCTGCATTTCAGAGTGCTTGTTAAGCTCCGATAGAATGCCTGGAAGAGAAAACTGTGTCTCCCTGAGGCCTTCAATGAAGACCTTTTTCTTTGTGGGGACTCTAGTATACCTTCTCTCTCTTGTGGCCTTAGTCACGCACAAATGGCGAGTTACTTTCCCAGAAGGCTGAATTATTTAGAGACTTTGCACCAGGTGGAGCAGGACCACATGGGGAAGTTCAAGAGCAGCAACTTCATAGTAGGGTAATGGTTTTATGCAGAAAGTGGGGTCCACTTAGAGCAGGTTTGCTGATCCTCTGGAGTTCCCAGAAGTGTGACCTAGGCCTGAGCTGGGAGAGTGCACACAGCTGAGTGATAATTTGCACCTTGATGGAGGAGCACCAAACTGAGGTCCAGAGTGCATGGCCCCATTGATAAGAACTGACTGAAGGACTGGAGAAACTTATTGTCAGAGATGTCTGAGGGGGATACAATTGCAGTAAAAGCAACAAAAGACTTAATGAAAGTTGTAAAAGAAAGCTTTAAAAAATCTTAAATTCATTAATTAAAAAATTTAATAGGTAAACTGACAATTGTAATGATGAAAACAAAAGTGATTTTCCAAAGAAATATCCCACAATACTGAAGAGAAATTCAAAGAGATGGAAATCAGAAATTAATAAATAAGATCTGAGGACAGGTCCAAACCTACCTTGCGAGTATCATGAGGACAAGAGGAGAGAAAATCAGAAGTGATCATTGATCTAATGAAATGTTTACTTGACCTGAAAAAAAAAGTTATGTCTTAGACTAAAAAGGCCTTCAAGTGCCAGGGAGAGCTAACTAAACAGACACAGACCTAACAGTCATTTGTCTTTAAAGGATTAAGAAAAAATTATGCAGGGACGCCTGGGTGGCTCAGTCAGTTAAGTGTCCGGCTTCAGCTCTGGTCACGATCTCACATTTGGTGGGTTCAAGCCCTCATTGGGCTCTGTGCTGACAGCTCAGAGCCTGGAGCCTGCTTCAGATTCTGTATCTCCCGCTCTCTCTGCCTCTCCCCTACTCATACTCTGTCTCTCAAAAATAAAATAAAACTATTAAAAAAGTGATATAAAATTATACAGCCTTCCAGACAAAAACCACAGGTTCCTTTTAGGAAATGAGACAGCATAGCATTGAGTATTGAATCTAAGCTATAGCCCTGGGAGCTGAAGGAACCTGTCAGTCTCTGTCTCTCCTTCTCTGAACCTTGATTTGTATCACATACATAGTCAGATGTCAGACTGATTTAATTTCTAAATTGACTTAAGGTCTAAATATAAAAACAAAATGGTAAGGAATTTGGGAGAAAATCTAGGGGAATGTATACATTTGGGAAGTGGTAGACTACCTTAGGTAGAGATAAGACCCACAAGCCATAGAATAAATGAGGTTCCACTTTATTTAAAAAATTTGAAAAAGATTTGTGTGTAAAAGATAAAGACACACACAGACTGTGAAAAACATTCATGACATCCTAGCTGTTAAAAGAGTTTACAGCTCTAATATATATAGAGAGTGCCTACAGATTGATAAGAAGACCAATAATCCAATTCAAAAACAGACAGAAGGAGATAAAATGGAAGTTCACAGAAGAGGAAATAAAAATGAGCCTAGACTTCACCATCAGTCAGTTAGTTCTGGACTCTGTTGAGAGACCTTTACCCACCCATCAGGTAGACAAAAACTAAAAATTATCAGGTAGACAAAATTTGTATGAAATTATATATAAGAAACTCAGTCACACTCTTTGATAAATTTTACGTTACATCTTGTGTGGTTGTTAGGTCGATTCAAAGCAGTCTATTTAAAGGCTATAACTTTTTCCTACCTGGTTTTAAAATTTTAGAAAACTGTCACCTCACCTGTATTTATTGAAAATAAGTTTCTCTTTCTTGAAAAATACATTTGGATGATGAGGAGTAGCAAGAATAGCAGATTAACCACTGCTTCAGGATTCTAATTTTTTTCCTTAGTTGGCTGTTCACACTTGTGAGTCATCTACTTTTATTATCTGCTTTTTTAGTGTCATAAATGTCTGGCTTCCTGAAACAATTTGGATGGTTATATCATCCTAACAGAAAAAGACTCCATAACCCAAACTGTCTTCAATGTAAAAAAGAAATATTTTAATTTCATAAAGAAGCTTATGGTAGGGCTGGCAGAGAATATGGATTACTCATGCTCTTTACATGATTCTCTACAGTCTTCCCTCTTCTGCCCTCTCCCTCTGGCAGGTTTGTCTTCAGCTTTCCCGCTGCCAACAGCTGGGGCACTGCCCTCCTTGTTCATATTCAGAGACAACCCAGAAATAAAACGTCCTTCCCTTAATGAGGTCCCAGTAGTTCATTTTTGTTTTTCCCTTGCTTCCGGAGCCATGTCTAGTTAGCAGTTGCTGCGGGAGGCGATCAAAAAGAATGGAATCTTGCCATTTGCAACAACACGGATGGAAGTAGAGGGTATAATACTAAGCGAAATAAGTAAGTCAGGGAAAGACCAATATCATGATTTTAATCCTGTGTGGAATTTGAGAAACACAATAGATGAACACAGAGGAAGGGAAGGGGGAAAAAAAAAGATAAAAACAGAGATGGAGGCAAACCATAAATTAGAACAAACTGGGGGGCTGCTGGAGGAGAGGTGGGTGAGGGGATGGACTTAAATGGGTGTTGGGCAGTAAGGAGGGCACTTGTTGGGATGAGCACTGTGTGCTGTATGTATGTGACGAATCACTGAATTCTACTCCTGAAACCAGTACTACACTGTATGTTAGCTTGAATCACATTAAAAAACAAAACAAGAAAGCCCACCGCTTCCCTTTTGTCTGAGTGGAACAACTTAAGGTTACCTGCCTCTCCTAGAACAGTAACAAGGCACTGATTGCCTTAAAGCAATGTGAATGGCCCAGAAGGGACATGATTAGCTTCCATGAAATAGAACACTTGCCTGGTGCTGTGGATGGGGTCAGCTTCCTGTGAGTCACCTGGGCCGCAGGGAAGTAGACACATGGAGCACGGAGGATCCATTAGGGAGGAGAATGGATGCTGGGCAGACAGCCATCCAGGCCCAGTGCTACCCATACCCTGCAGATGGCTGCACCTAGAAATGTTCACTGCTACTGTATAGACTGTCAGTATACCTCACAGTAAGTTGTCATACGTCTTCTTTGCCGCTGTAGCAAATTACCACAAAGTTTTAGTGGCTTGAAAGAACACAAAGGTATTATTTTGAGGTTCTGTATGTCAGAAGTCCAAAACCATTGTCACTGTGGTAAGATCACGGTGTTGGTAGGTCTGTGTTCCTTCTGGAGGCTCTGGAGGAGAATCCGTTTCCTTGTCTTATCCAGCTTCTAGATGCTGCCTGCATTCCATTTCGTGGCCCTTCATCCTGACACCTTTTCTCCCTGTTGCCATCTTCACATTGCCCTGTGTCTGATTCTCCTGCCTCCTTACAGATCATTGTGATTACGTTGTGACCACCCAGATAATCTAGGATAATTTTCCCCTCTCACATCCTGCATTTAAGCACATGAGCTAAATCCCATTGCCACCAAACATAAAATACTCCAAGGTTCTGGAGATCAGGACATGGTCATTATTCAGCAGACCAATTGTCTCCTGTAGTCCTTTCTGTGCCTGTACAGCTGTGTTCCTACCTCATCTCACATGTGTCCTCTCTGTTCCTCTCTTCATTTACATTGTACATGAGAAAAAGCAGTTTAAGCACCTGAATATTATATTTGGGGAGTAGAGTTGCAGGAATAAAAGCACATATAATTTCATTTGTCTCCTGAAAGTTTTTGTTTGGAATTTCAAATTTAATATAATTTTGCCTGTGTCAAGTGAGCATCACTAAATGAAGTGATCCAAAATCTCTTTTCAAAGAGTATTCTGCTCTTATAAAAAGCCCTTTAAAACAGTATTTTAAGTGCTGCTTCCAAATGGAGTTCACACTTTTGCCATTCTGTGTTAAAGGTCATGGTTGAGTGTGTGTGTGTGTGTGTGTGTGTGTGTGTGTGTGTGTGTGTGTGTTTTCCAAAGTGAATTTACTTCTGGATCTGGAATTAATACCTTTGACACGATTTTTCATCAGGGAGGAAAAGAACCAATATATCATCTAGACTTCGTTTTCTTACCACTTAGAGAGTCTGGTGTAACAAATACTCTTGTTCAGTGTCATCATTCATGAGAGAACAAAAATACAGTTGCTCTTATATCCCATATACTGTGCTGGCAATAACAGCATAAACCTTAATGTTCTTGGTGCATCATTTCAGCTGCAAATGTTTTCAGTGAAGTATTATTTAGTCCTTAGCAATTCAGTTTTTTAAGTTTCTTTATTTATTTTGAGAGAGAGCACACAAGCGAAGGAGAGGGAGAGAGAGGGAGAGAGAACATCTCAAGCAGTCTCCCATTGTCAGTGCAGATCCTGACATGGGGCTTGAAGCCACGAACCATGAGATCATGACGTGAGCTAAAATCAGGAGTCAGATGCTTAACCAACTGAACCACCCAGGTGCTCTAGTAATTAATTTTTGTATAAGACAAACTTACTTCAATATACAGTAGAGAAAGCAAAGGGGTGATTTTAAAATGTCAGCAGTGACCATTTTTTACCAAATCTATAAGCACATTAACTGACATTATAATCCATAAAAACCCATTTGAAATGAAAAAGTTTTAGATGGTATCAGTCGATCACATTTATTTATATGATAACCTTTTAGTTATAATTTTACTAATTGTGAATCAGCCCTTCAGTAATGATTCATGGGCTGTGGGTTTCCTAAAATTGTTGTATTTCATGGGATAAACAGTTAGAAACAGTGAATCACACAAATTGACAACCCTCTACGAGTTTGTACATTATACAAACTCATTTGTTTGTTGACTACCACTCTAGTACTTTCTGTGTCCTAGAGCTCTGCCAAGGCAATTGCAGTCTGCCCCCAACCATGGAGGCGAATCATGACAGGGGAGTTCATTGGTGTCAGGCATCACCAACAGAAAGGCAATTGCATCCTCTCATTTCACACCTTCTTTGTGGGTGTCCCCATTTAGCTTGACCCTGCAAGTGAACAAGTCTCAGTATGAGCTGTCGGTTGAGAAGAAACCAGGATGTTGGGGAGGGGTGATGGGAAGGATTAAGTGGCAGTCTGCATCATACAATTTCCTGAGCCCTGGCAGTGCAGGTCTGGTCCAAGCAGATAGGTCTGTTTCACTAAGGTTTCATCATGTGCCGAGGAAGTAAAAACTATTTTGCATTTGCCACCAGAATCAACTAATACTAAATAATAGTTGAGAATTCCAGCTTGGTTGTAGTGGGTGGAAAATGGACCTCTCTCGATGGTTAATTCTTACTTTTGCTTTTACTGTTGATCTTCATGAAAGAGACAAGAAATGAGACTTGGATTATCAATTTGCTTTCAGTCTAAACACTCACTGCAATTATAAACATCTCTCAGAACATATAGATATTTTTGGAAAGTGACCTTTTGTGAAGAGAGTAGGGACTAAGGCCAAAGAAAGCATTTTTCTATCAAGAGAAGTAGCTTTCAGTTTACAGCATGATCGGAAATCCATCTCTTATGTTCTACTTGGATAACAGAACTCATGTTTCATTTTTTAAATTTTATTTTAATTTTCTTAAATTGAAATACAGCTGACACAATGTCATATTAATTTCTGGTGTATAACATAGAATTTGACAAGTGTGTATGTTATGCTGTGCTCATCACAGGGGTAGCTACCACCTGTCTCCATGCAGTGCTGTTAAATACCATCGACCATATTCTCTATGGCTGTGCCTTTCATCTCCTTGACCTATCTATTCCATAACTGAAAGCCTGTACCTCCCACCTGCCTTCACCCATTTTGCCTGTCCCCTCATCCCCTTCCCCTCTGGCAACCACTAGTTCTCTGTATTTATGGGTCTGTTTCTGGTTTTCTGTATGTTTGTTCAGAGTGCATTTTTGTTTTTATTTTTTAAAATTTTTTATTAAAAATTTTTAAAAATGTTTTCTTTATTTCTGAGAGAGAGAGAGAGAGAGAGACAGTGTGAGCAGTGGAGGGTCAGAGAGAGAGGGAGACACAGAATCTGAAGCAGGCTCCAGGCTCTGAGCTAGCTGTCAGCACAGAGCCTGACGCGGGACTTGAACCCACGAACTGTGAGATCATGACCTGAGCTGAAGTTGGATGCTTAACCAACTGAGCCACCCAGGCGCCCCTGGAGCGCATTTTTGATATCATTTGATGCCTTTAAACATATTTCTTTATTTACATTATTTTAGTTACCTAATGGCTGTGTTATCCAGTTAATTATCTAATGATTTTAAAACTTGGTGGCTTAAAACAATAGCCCTTTTTGTCATTAAATGTGATACTTTTGGGGTAGGGAGTTTGGGCAGGATTTGGTTGGGCAATTTTGCTTCATGTGGTATTAAGTGAAGTCAGTGGGTGGTGGTCTTCATCAGGCGTCTGGTTGGTCTAGAGGGTTCAAGATGACTTTATTCACATGCTTGGGTGCAGTTGGAAAGTGGGGCTCAGCGGGGCCTCCCCTTCCATGCAGTCTCTCTGGTAGGGTCGTGGGACTTCTTCCCTGGCTACTCAGGGCTCCAAAAGCAAATGTTTCAAGAGATGGGCAGTGGTAACTGTCAGCCTTTTAGACCTGGGCCTGAAACTGGCACAGGTCTCTTCCACCCTGTTCCACTGGTTAACAGTCACACAGCCCGTGTAGATCAGATTAGTGGCCATTTTTAATTTGTTGCGCATGTGTATAAGTACATGAGGTTTCTTCCTTCTTTTTTGACCTATGTGGAAGATGGGGGTTATTGATCAAAAAGTCACGGGTTATTGAGCCACAAGAGACACTAGACTTAATCCAACCTTTTATCTATAGATTATATACATATATCAGTAAAAATGGTGGGAGAAAGGGAGAGAGGCAAACCATGAGAGACTCTTGAATGCTGAGAACAAACTGAGGACTCATGGGTGTGGGGGAGGAGGGGGGAGATGGGCATGGAGGAGGGCACTTGCGGGGATGAGCAATGGGTGTTATATGGAAACCAACTTGACAATAAACTATTTGTAAACCAAAAAAATGAGTAAAATTGTATTTTTCTATAGAAGGTAGTTGATGCATCAAAAGGATGAAATAATTTCTATAGGAGAGCTCATCTCACAGTATGACAGTGCCTTTGATAAGCCATACAGACTTCATAGCTATGGCATGAAGAGAAAAATTGTTATACATTTAATCTTCCATTAATTTTCCCTAGAGATTGCTATTTGGATATCTGCTTTCAAACTGTCCTTGGTAGTTACTGAAATTACTATTTTGTACTACTCATATGTTATCACTTTTTGTAAAAAATATTCACAGTGGGTAGAAGTTTAGTGGTATTTGTCTTATACATTTTTGACACTTAAAAATAATAGTGGAATTTGCAAAAATGAAGCAATAGTATATATGTATTTTATTTGGGGGAAACGTTTAGTTCTATGGGGAGATGAGAAATCAACATTAAACTTTGTGAGTCATTGCATGAATTATTTTATTTCTTTGTGCTCATAAAGGCTTCTAAATTTTAAAGTTTTGTAAATATTTCAGTTAAGTTCAGTCTAAGATTCTGAATATAAAACTCAGATCAAGATTCTTGTCATAAAATACCCTCTGAAGATCTTGACACTCCTCCATCAGGTATCATTTAATCTTATGAATCAAATGATGCTTTCCAAAATTGTGGCTGCAAAAAAATCCACTCAACTTAGAAATCTCTGTGACCATACAGTACATGCTGAATTGAGAGACCAGAGGTGATCACAGTATAAATTCATTGACACAATTTGTTCTGTGATTTTACAAATATAAGTTAAAGTTTTTAGGTAGCTAAAATTTCACAGCCTCACTTCCTTGCAATAATTTAGTAGCTTTCCTCTTAAAATAACTGAGTTGGGGAGGGGTTAGTTGGTGAATTGGAAAATTGGTAAGTGCAGGGCCTGGAACCCCTTGTGCTTTGGGCAGTGCTGGTGTCCAGCTTGCCGTCAAACTGATGGTAACCAGAGTTCTTTAAATAAATCAAGCCTTCAGGTTCACTGGGTGTTCTTGAAGGTTGAAAAGGCTCTCTCAGAAGTGGTAATGACTTTCTTCCAGACTGTTGGTGGTGGTGCAGGACAAGATAGAGCACCAGAGATGGATGGTGGTGGGCCTGCAGAGCAGGACAGAAACCATTCCAACAGCAGCACTTTGTCTGATCGAAGACTCAGTAACTCCAGCCTTTGTAGCATTGAAGAAGAGCACCGCACAGTGTATGAGATGGTGCAGCGGATTCTCCTGTCAACGCGAGGCTATGTCAACTTTGTGAATGAGGTCTTCCGCCAGGTTAGTGTGCGTGCATGTGTGTGTGGTATAAGTTCATGAAACTGAAGAATTTTGTTCTTGTTCTTTTGCTCATATTACTGCAAGAAATACCATGGATGTTTTGGGCTACATTACAGGACTGAATAATGATCCTTCTAATCCCACTTTCAATTTGTCATGTGGAGTGTTGCAATTTTTTTCCTTTAGGATTTTAAAAAAATTTTGTTTTAGTAAAATTCCTACACGTAGAGAGAAAATTCTGTGTATGAACAAATCATCCCACAAATACCCTCATGTTCCCATAAACCCAGTGGTAGGTGAGAAGAAAGCCCTTGCTGAATACTCAGCAACAAATGAACATCACAAAGAAGAGCCCAGGCTGGTGGTGTCCCCAGGGTCTGAGGGAGCTCTCTGGAGGTTTCTGCAAGCACATGTACTTTCCCTACAAATATGTGTGACATGTGTATAGTAGAAATATGATAAAAATATTTATGACATCAGAGAAAAAAGCTGGGTGGGGAGGGGAATAAAAGAGGAAAGAAAAGGCTGAGGCCACGATGCTGACATAGCACACCTATGGTGGACACTGTGGTGAGTGAGATAGGAGAAATGCAAACGACAAAGTAGGTGCAGGTGAGGAAGAAAATAGCAAAGATCAGAGGCCAGACAATGATTAGCAGCCCTGAGTGACACTGGGGCTAGCTCTGCCCCCCTCCCAGGGGGCATTGGGTGCTATCTGGAGACATTTTTGGTTGTCACAACTGGGGAGGGGGTGGTGCTACTGGCATCTAGTGGGTAGTAGCAAGCGATGTTTTTAAACATCCTACCAGCACAGGACAGGGCCCCTGCTACCCCATGACAAAGAACATCTGGCGCCAAATGTCATTAGTGCTGCTGTGGAGAAACTCTGACAGAGGAAGCAGAACCTGCCGTGTAGTGGAGCAAATAACAGCTCTGTAGTGTGGGGTGGAGCTACTGGCCCCCTGCACCTTGGTACCAGTGCCCGGGAAACAGAGCCTGGCTCTTTTGTGGGCATGTGCATGTGATAGGGGGATAACTGTTTAGTCCATGCAGCCGCACAGAGGCTGAGACCCTTGAATGGCAGAGACACGTTACTGGCGGGGAGGAGGAATTGTGTACACACATATGAATGATGCATCTGCACCATGAAGAGCTTTTTGTGGAGGGGTGAGACTTCTAGATAGTGATTAACCCCTTTCACGTCTGAGACTTTCATTAAAGAAAAATCAACCAAGAATGAAAGTCCCAGCATAGTCCATGGCAATCTAGAGGTCTTAACATATTTTGAAATTTAATGAATAAAAATTTTTGACTTAAGAAAATATTAGTTTAAGCTGCAGTGAAAATTCCCCTTATAAAATACTTTTCTGGTTCTGTGGCTCAGCACTGCTTTGGTTCCTCTCACTCCCTGTATCTTCATTTCTTGTCCCCTCCCCGTTTTTTGACCCCAAATTCCAAGAGTCATCCAAGGTTCTGGGCTTAAGCTTCTTCATCTGTCAGTCCACCCTTGCCTCTTTAGGGCCTTCAACAGTGACACGAGACTCCCACTCAAGCCTTTTGTCCAGAGCTTCTTATTTCCACATTTGTTTGCTTTTAAAATGCCCACTTGTTATCTAATATTCTAAGTGGTGTCTTAATGACAATGAGGCCAAAGCTTACTCCCTTCCCTAACATCAGCTTCTCCTCCTGACTTGACTGCTTCTTTAACAGGCTCATGTTCACGTGTGCAGTTTTAGCCCTCTGGGGCTCCTCGACTCCGACTCCTGTGAACTGTCCCTGGGCAGGTCATGCAGGGGGCTTTCTCACTCCCGGTCCCTCCTTTTCCTTTGACCAGCATGCTCCTTGGACCCCACACCTGCTGTGTCCTCCCTTTCTAACCTACTGTGCACATCATGCTGCCAAAACATTCTTTTTTTTTTTTATTCGATCCTCTGAGTATTTATTGAATAAGGAAATTTGTTATGTCTTGATACTGAGACCAAATATATTAAGACAGAGATTTGTTTATCAAGGAACTTCGATAATATACAGAGAAGAAATTTTACCTAAAACATTAAGAAAATTAAATTACATTATTGTAAGATATATAGTTGGTGTTTCTTTTTTTTTTAATAGTTTATTGTAAGGTTGGTTTCCATATAACACCCAGTGCTCATCCCCACAAGTGCCCTCCTCCATGCCCATCACCCCTCTTTCCCTCCCCCCACCCCCATCAGTCCTCAGTTTGTTCTCAGCATTGGTTTGCCTCTCTCCCCCTCCCCCACTATTTTCCCCTCCTTCTTCTCCCCCACGGTCCTCCATTAAGTTCCTCCTAATCCTCCTATACGTGCAAACATATGGTATCTGTCCTCCTCTGCCTGACTTATTTCGCTCAGCGTAACACCCTCAAGGTCCATCCATGTTGCTACACATGGCCAGATTTCATTGTTTCTCATTGCCATGTAGTATTCCATCGTATAGATAAACCACATCTTCTTGATCCATTCATCTGTTGATGGACACTTAGGCTCTTTCCATGTTTTAGCTATTGTTGAAAGTGCTCCCCTATGACCCAGCAATAGCACTGCTAGGAATTTACCCAAGGGATACAGGAGTGCTGATGCATAGGGGCACATGTACCCCAAACTTTCTTTGATCATAATATAGCCCATGATTTAAAAATCTACCCTATTTCCTCCATTAATGTTGCCCTGTTGTGTTCCTGTTGTACTCATGGAAGGTACTTGGTAACACTTTAATTTGAGTTCAAATCATCAAGGTCGCAGAAGGCATGTAATTGAGAATAGAGATCATATACTTTATATAGTACAGGACGAGATGATAATATTTCAGGCTTTATTGATCACGTGGGCTCTGTTGTAGCTACTCAGCTCTGCCTTCGTAGTGAGAAAGCAGCCATGGACAACAAGTAACAAATAAACATGACTATGTTCCCAAAGACCTTTATTTATGAAAATCATGTGGTGGGCTGAATTTGGATGATAGGTCATAGTTAGCAGACCCCAATCTGTAGCAATGTTTGAACTCTTGGAAGCCAGTGCTTATTTTAAGGCTAGGTATTATTGACAAAGCTTTTAAATTTTGCATAAGAGATACATGCTAAATTGATGTGATTTTACCTTTATTATGTAAGTTGTGTATGATATCCATTGTCTGTCTCCATTATTGGCATTTCACCCCTGGCAAGAGCGTGGTTCAAATTCAGAATTCCATTTAAGTCCTAAGTCCAATCTAAATTCTGTTCTGAAGTAGCTTGGGTCTGGTGGGTAACTGCAGACTACTTATGACTGAACTTCTGAGACATCTTTGTGCCACGAAGTCAAAAAATATTTTCTTAAAATTTTATAATTATTCTTCATCAAATCTAATTTGAAAGCATATATATGAAATTTAAAATAAGAATGTTGCACATTTTAAAATAGAGTAGAGACATTTGTAGGGGCATGAGCTTTAACATTGTATTCTATTGCCCTCTTGTGGTCAATGATGAATTTTTCTTATGAATGGCAAAACGTGACTTTTTTCATAGTGATTTCTTTTTCACTTTTAAAGTATTCAGAGATAAATATTTAAGCCTAAAGGGTATTAAAGTTTAAAATGTACGTTCAGGAAGTGCATGTTCTCATGTGGAGGTAATATGTGTGTATGTACTCCAGAAAACAGTACATGGTGGCAGAAGACGAGATGTCCAAATGTGTGGCCTGGAAATAAATGATGATGAGGAGCCATGGGGACAGAGAGGCTCACCATACCAGTCTCCTTGTACTGGATGGTTCAGTGGTTGCAGGCAGTGGAAATAGGTGGTAACTGAGTATAGATGAGATTGAGATTCAGCCTCAGTTTAGTGCTACTCCCAGCAGGCAGGCTAGTGGTGAGTGTCAGAGGCTTCAGGTAGGGCAGTTCTGGTCTTGGGGTCACTCCGCTGGAAATTTGTCTTGTTACTGGTGTTTTTCAGACTGCCTTTTGTGACCATTTGTAGGTCATGAAATTGACTTATCAAAACCTGATATTTTTTAAAATAATGGAATAGAATAAATTAGAATAGACCAAAATGTTTCAGAGTGTGCTGCAAGTTGTAAGGATTAGTATTTCTCTGTAAAACTTCTACAGAAAAATTTATTTTTGTATATACTATATACAAATGCGTATATCCTTCTGTAAAATGGCTTACTTAGGTTATGGGTCTAAAAAGTTCAAAGCATTGCTCTAAAGGTCATTTGTTGATTCGGTTGTTTTGTTTGCTGTTAGTTTTGTTTTAAAGAACAACTTTTTAAAAAAGTGAATGTTCACTAGATAAACACAGGCTGAAGAAAATCACTCAAAATATTACCAGTAACTAATCACTATCAATTTAAGAAGAGCATCATTCCAGGTGTTTCTATGTTTATATTTGGCTACTGGCCTGGTTAGCTAGATAAGCAGATAAGAGACTGGCAGCGAAGAGGTGGGTTAGGCAGGGTATAAACACCCAGAGAACAGTCTGATGCACAGACAGAAGAACTGACAGGCAGGCATAGAAGAGCAGACAAGTGGGTGTAGACAGGCCAGCTGGCAGATGGAGGTGAGCAAGGAGGTGTAGATGGACAGGTGCGTAGGTACAGATAGATAAGCAGACAGAGAATTTGGCAGGCAGGTATAGGTGGACAGGCAGGCAGCCAACCATGGACAGAGACAGGTAGAGATAAAACCAGACAGAGGTTGACTGAGGTGAAGGCAGATGCAAGAGGGAGTATGCAGAAGTGCTGGGGTAGGAGTAAGGGACTGACAGAGAACTTTATGACAATGGCATCTTTAATTCTTAATTATTCTCTAATGCATTTTTAATGAAGAGCTCTGAATTTTATTTGTATTTAACAGAAGAATAAGTAAGATGAAATGGAAAGAATTGTTGAAATTCAAATAAACATTCCTTTATGACAAGAAATATTAATTACTAAAAGGTTTGTCCATAATGAAAAGATTATAATTCCTTTAAGGTGTTGGAATCACTTTCTTAGCCC